GCACACGTGCATTATGTGTGAATTTAAATCACAATTTACTACATTAATTCCAACTTTTTCAATAAGCAATCTCTATAGAGAAATAGAATTGGACAAATTGTTAGTTCTCCATTTGAAAATACTTCTCAGGCCTCAATATTCGTGATAATTGAATTAAAATAATTTTTCCTACTAAAAGTTAATCTTGCCATCATAAGTTTTGGTTAAACTTCCAATTAGTTGGAGCAACATTATCAAACTCCAACCATTTCCCATCGCTTACAGTAACTTTAAAAGACAGACTCTGTCCGGTTAGCACCCTACCGGTATCCCCAACCTGTCCCCAATTTCTCCTCATCGTAATCCAACCGGCTCTCGAACCTTTCACCTTAACATCAGTCACAACACCGACATGTCCAATATTGAGAACAGGAACCATCAAGAAATAAGGTTTCCCGGTCAACTCAAATTGACACCACCATGTTTTTTAGGGCATAAAACTTGCCGGTATTTAATCGGAATAATCCCGGCCTTGTACTTAGCGATCTTGAGGAACATCGGTAGAGATAAATCGAAATGTTTCTGCGGCGGAATGCACCAAACACCTACGGTTTTTGTGTAGTTGGGTGGGCAGAAATTGGTGGCTGTGACGATTATTGGCTTTGCTCCTTTGATGCACCATTGGGGTTGACGCATCGTATCTCGAAACATGCACCGCAAGTGGCTTCATTGTTGAATAAAACCGTACTTAGAGCCGTCGTCGCTAAACCGTAGCATTGCTGGAAGAGACTACCGTACCCGCAAGCTCCCTCTGGTTTACGTTGGTTGATACATTATTTGGTTTAGATCAGTATAACACGACCATTTCTATGACCGATAAATATATACATACACTCAAGAAAAAATCAATAAAGACTAATGAAAACACGATTCCCCGTTTTTAGATAAACCTAATCATTTGATTATATGTAAATTTCACTAGAATTTTAATATAGTTCTCTAACTTTTTTTCTTTTTTTTTTGGAACATAGTTCTCAAACTTGTACATTAACTCAAATAAATTCATTATTGTCATAAAATGTTTGTTGTTTCTTCCAACTCTGAGATGTCCAAATATACTCAAATTTGTTACCTATTATAGATCAATTCTACGAAATGCTATATATGTTCTTACTTAGCACATTTCAAAGGTTCTCATTGTTATATTCGTTGAATAAATAATTGTAGACGTTCGAACACAAGTTGCATTCATAAGTCAATCAATAAAAGTCATTTCGTTGATTAATACTTCATACGGCCCATAAAAAATAATGATTTCTGTGTTGTTTCTAAGAGCATGTTTATTGGGGTATCTAAACTTGATATCCTTAAATAAACAAATAAT